GCATGGTATGGTGCATTACCAAGGTGCATCACTTTTGATTTCAAAGCATTAACAGGAAGTTTTCAAAGTTTAGACCATGCGATCATTTGTTGTATAAATGAGTTAATGGCTTCATGTGCTTCAAATTGTTGCTCATCAGTATAGCAAAAATAAATTTTTATGTCATCTGCAAAAATTTGCATCTTGATGTTGGGATGAGTCTGCAGATAGGATGATAAATCCGCTGTGTACGTGAGGAAAAGGAGAGGCGAAAGTATGCCGCCCTGAGGTACTCCACTACTGCATGGAAATCTGTTTGAGAATTCGGTCCTACACGAACCGTCATGCCTCTGTCATGTAGGTAAGACCCAAACCAAGATAGCAGTTGTCCGCGGATTCCGAAATTTTCAAGTTTGGATAGTAGTTTAAAATGATCATCTGTCAAATGCCTTGGATAAATCAAAGAATATATTAGGTTGTTGCAAAAATAATGTCCGTTTCTCTAAGCCCACTTTTCAAACAACTTTTTTCCTTTAAAATTTTTTTTTCGATATAGATTCTGCATATCATTGGAGAGATTTCTTCATGTACTTTCTAATAGTGGTGAAATCAATCTTCTATCTCATCTGTGAGAATTTCACCAGCAACTCGCACAACTGCTCTCAAAATCAAAATTTCGATGTTTGTGTTTCCGTGGCCACAATTCAGGCGCAAATGAATTAATTCTTTTCAAGATATAGCTACTATATTAGTTGGACATTGTTTGCCTATAGCATGTTCGAGTAGATTTTTCGAAAGTATCTGGACCGGGAAATTGACGCCGCGAAATAGATACTCACTGCATGGCATTCTACGGAAAAATTTCTCACGATTGAGGCAGATGCCAAAGCTTCGCTTATTTCTGTAGCTTGAGGTTAGGACATCTTGCTCACAATTTTTGCAGAAAAACTTAGCTATTCAGTGCATGTAGAATTCCAGATTTTCGTAGTTTGGGATCTTCTGGTCTACCACAAATAGCCTCAAAAAAGTGAACAATTCTGAATTTATATTTTTTCTTTTAGCAGGCCCCCTTCTTTGAACTTTTTTTCCATACAAACGTTTACTACTGGCTTGCATCTACAAAATAAGCTACCTAGCAGCCATAGGAAGAAAACTTGAAGGGAGCTGTAATCTCTCAAAGACGAGGTTTTCAAAAGAAAAACTTTCGGTTTTTTGGCGCATGGTTTTATTTCCGTTTGCGATATCAGTATATGCAGGTACGCATTGAGTAACGAAAGGTTAACCGCTTCTGATGGTCTTGATTGCAATCAAAAATATGAAGACCGCACAAAGTTATAGCCTTCCAAATTAAAACTTTGCAAAACGGATTTTATTTTTGCAACAACCTAATAATATCAACAGATTTGCCAACGTTCAAAGCACTTATCCAATCAAAAACAGAATCCGTGAGTAATGCAGTAGTGGACCCCCCCCCCCCCCAGGAAAAAAAGCCCATTTGGGCTGCCGGCAAAATATCGTTGTCTTGCAGCCATTCAAACAGGACGTTTTTTATAATCTTTCCGAGTATTTTTCCGGATGTTGCAGCTATGCTGATTGGGCGAAAATGGAGAGGGCAAGAGGGCACTACTATGCTCTCGTTTAGGAATAGCTGTTACTAGTGCCTCCTTCCAATAATAATATATCTTGAGAAGGATGCGTTGACAAAGAATATAACGTTAAAGGAGAGATGAAAATAAGACTGGGGTTACATTCTACTGTTAACTTCCAGGTTTCCCTTGATTCACTCAGCAACCAAGTCTCACGATTGCCTCGAGAAAATTTACCAGACCACATCAATCCACAGTCGGTGCAATAATCAGTACGTATACGATTTTCGCAATTCGTATGGCTCCCTTCTCCCTCAGAATGTGCATGTAGTTTAGTAATACTTTGCCAGTTGCACAGCATCGATAAATTCAGTAGCTACAGTCGAGTTTTCAGATTTTCCGCTTAATATGGTGTGCTTGCACAGAAAATGAAATGCGGTAAAATTTGCGCGTAACATATATCTTCGACTGTGACGCTGGCCAGCTGCGCGCGCCAAATGCCGGCAATACTGCGTGGCTGTTTATTCGCGAGCAAATTTCACCGCATTTCACCTTCTGTGCAAGCACACTATATTAAGCGGAAAATCACTCGACCGTAGCATCGTTTTCGCTTTTGAAAGAATTTGCAGATGTTAGCATCAGATGTGAATTGCTCATGTTTTTAACTATCAGTAGGATGTCGTGCGCAGCTGTAGCTTGATGATGTGATATGTACGCATATGAGTAGCTGACTGTGCACAATCAGTGTTATTTACATGTACAACTCTCGCTCATTTGCTTTAACATTATTTCACTTATATATTTGCGCCTTCTTCCAATCATATAATTCCTATTTGAAATTTATCATTTGGTAACATTATTTGTTATTTGTTCTATCCGTGTTTGTTGTTGTTATTTGTTTCTCTGATGAAGTTTAATAACCCAAATTTGAGGTGCGCTCGTGTCCAATCGCTTAACCCCGCATGGCAATTGGTCGTGTCATCATTTAGTGATATTCGAAGCATATCGTTCTAAGCACTCGCGACCGCTAACTAATTAACACGTATGGACATCCGTTACTTACTGCCCAAACTTCTGGGTAACAAGCAGCAAGGAACTAGTACAAACGAATTGAGAACAATATAGGCTCTGCGTGATCGCTGGGGGGGGGGGGGGAAGGGGAAGGGTTGGTGTTTTCGCCTATTAGACGTTGAATCATTTGAAAAACCCACGTATTTTTCATAATCGCCTCATCTAATTGAAAGCTGACATCTGATAGAAGAAATACGTTAGACAGGAGAAAGAAAAGCAAGAAAGCTGGATGTGCGAGCAAGCGGTCTCAAACTCAATAACCTTCACGATCACGCAGGGACCTATACAAAGGCATTCACGAAAGCAGCTCATATATCTAACGTAGAAAACTGAGTCAATGCAAACATAGAACACAACGTTAAGTTGACAATAGCTAGAAACCACAAAGGTGTCATCCTTATTGGTCATGATTCCTTCAATTGTAAGCATCCACTCAATATCTCGAAAATTGGAATCTTCCATACTTTTCGGTTCTGAGAGTTTCAACTGTGAATGATAGCAAAACTCAGAAAAGGTACAAGGGATGAACCGCTACAATCGTGGGAATGAAGAGGAGGTATAGTCTGCTGCATGACGAGGCGCAATATCTTGGGTGCGAACGTGGTTCTTTTAGCAGCAGAGCGTATGAGGCGCAGGATTTACAACGGTGAAGATGCGCACCCGTCTTGTTTGCGCCCGCTCACCTAATACTGCTTCTGCGCCTTCGTCATGCATTAGCCTTTAAGCATAAGCGGGAGGGAAGAAAGTAGTAATCACAAGCCGAAATACAAGGAAGAACTCATGTTTGGGGACTTGAATGCAAAATGAGCCAAAGTAAACAGTTGCGTACCTCGAATACGTGTACACAGTTTAAAATCACTAAGGCTTCTAAATGAGCATTCGTTTCCGTTGATTGTTAAAGGCAGTGGATCGGCAAAATCCAACAACTCAGGATTTTAACGCGGTAGGTTCCTTATCGCCCCCAAATATGAAAATAGTGCAATCCCTGTTGCACAGCATGCTTTCCCTGCCGAGAAAATTGCTTTCGAACTTACACGCGCAGGCCAATCTTACACGCATCCGGACGAGTTGACAATTTCCTTCTCAACACTGGAGGCTGCCCGCCGCAATGCTTTGATCATTGGGTCCTGCAATGATTTAGCGTCATCAGCCTTGCTCCACTCGTCCAGTTCCAAAGGGAAGGGCATTGAAAAACGCTCATTTTCGCCGTTTTCAAACTTTCAAAAGTGGATTTTCAGAAACAGCGTATTGAACAACCTCAGGTAAGCGCAAATTTGACTAGGTTGAGATTTGCCGAGCACTGCCTTTAAGGTTGAATTCAAAACAAAATTGCAAAATCTCCGACTTTCGTTCCACTCTTGTCTCTAATCAGTGGTCTATTTTATAAGTGCTCAGCGTTTGCGTTCTCGTCTCGACGGTTTCGAAAAGCGGTCCATCTGCGGCGGAAAGATGCGTATGTTAGTAACCATGTTGATCATGCTATTGTGTTTATTAATGTCAGTGAAGACCTGACTTACTTTGATTTCACACCCGTCAAAAATAGAGTGTTCAAAAGGCAAAAAGCAGCTCTGCTCCTGTATATTTCGCATATAAAAAAAACGTGTTTGCACAGATCTGTTGCTGATAAAATGATGAAAAATCACGTCAACGTCTTAACATTAGACAAGAAAGGATCGGCTTGCTTCAAAAGACAATGAAGAAACAAGTTGTCCCTGACCGAGTTCACGACAGAGTGGTCAGTCGCAGAATCTTTTACTTACATCAATATTTACACGGCTGTGCTCTTGCAAAGGTGGTTCATGGGATTTGCTACATAAACGTCTTCATCCACGCCATCGCGCAAGTGCGAGTCCTTAAGATTAGATGTGAGGAATTTGCTGGAAAAGTTGAGAGACTTGAGCCTTAGTAGGAAAGCCTGGCGCATCAGTAGATTTCCTCCGGCAAAGTGCATGCCCGAACAGTAGAGATTGTAGAGTGGTAAAACATGTCTAGTCAACAAGTCACAGCCTCGATGAGTACCTTCGCAAGTGTCCAAATTCAAATCAAAAGGCTTCGGGAGAAGCTGTGCCTTCTTCGCACTCCTAGCGAATTTTCGGAAAAGTTCAACATATAAGCCTAAAAAAGGAAAGAAGCTGAAAATTTAGTAAGCAATCATCTCCCGTATTGCGCGGAAGACACATATAACGCTCCCTCATTTGAAGTCGTCTTCTGTCGTGCCCCGCCGCCTCCACTAAAGGAAAATTCTCCGATCGCCACTAGCATGTGTGCACTACTGCTAGTGCCTCCCATAGAATATTCTTGTGTGTCCTCACTCCAAAACGTTTTCTTTTGTCATAAGCCCACTACTAGCCCACTAGTAAAATTGACTATTTATTACCATTGCAAAAAGGCAGTACAAGAGAGAAATCACAAGGCAAATAATAAACAGAATTAGTAAAGCACGTACTTTCAATTTCTAAACTTTGAAAAGTTAACGTCATGCCATATAAATCACGAAACAATACTTTAGTTTCTCAAGCCAGTTCATGACTAGTCACGAACATCACTGGCTCAGAATATTGTTTTTCATTCTTCAAAACGAAGAATAATCAAAGGCATAATTATATACAAGATTTCTAGACAGAAATAGTCAAAATAACTTATAATACACTCAAGCAAACGGATTCAGCGTTTTTGTCAGGGAGATGTTCCTGATTTGTTTATGCTTCAGCGGTTACATCAGCTGCAACAGTGGCAGTGTCCTTTGTCTTATCCTGCAATCAGTAGTGTATCATATGTAATACTTTTGCTTCTTCCTAACAAAAACTCAATGTTTCAGTTAAGCGAATAATTCCAACGGTGGTTTTATTGGATTAAGAACTTGAAGATGCCAGCTTGAATTGCCGGTCTAAACTATGAAGTTAATTAAATTTTCGATTTTTGCTGAAAGCTATTCACTCAATTCGCTTTTTCTAAAAGGCAGATCAGCTCTGAAAAATTTTACTAATGGTGAATTCGAGTTAGTAGCTTGTCGGTTGCAGCAAAAGTGGAGGTCGTTAAACGTTTTACCTTAAAGGGGCTCAATATTGCACGATTCAAACATAAATTCTTCGAGTGGGAGCTTCTTATGTTTTCCTTCATGTACTGTCATTATTGATTCCCATCTGTGTTTTGTCTTTCTTTTCTTGTTTTCAAGTCTGATAGGACCTGCAGCTAGCTTGCTTCGCAGGGCCTTTTTTCATGTAGTGTTAGATATAAAATTTCTACCTGTGCGGAGGTTATCTACAATAATAGACACGACACTATCTATACGATAATATCCCTTCACTTATTGCTGGATGTAATAAACAGGATTTGCATGCTGCAATGAAGGGTCAAAATAGCGCATACTCTCAAAACAAATTGACATGGATGTAATTTTAACTTTCTGTACAAGTTCTTGCTCTGGTTCTTGTTGCGTGCGTTCGCCAAAGTCCAATTCTTATTTCATTTGTGATTCATCTCAAGAAAATTTCGCTATGACGTATCAGAATTAGCAGTGCATCGACCATCAACCGCCACGGTGCATAAAAGTGAATAAAGAAGAAACAATTTCCCAACCTCATTAAGACTAGACTTGGATCCACCATTGTCGTCCTGTTTCATGATATAATCGTTCAAGTCAATTACGGGATGCGTTGAATCATTTGAGGATTTCAATGACTGAAAAACTTGGTGTCTGTTCTGCTATTTCGCCATCGTCGAAGGAAGACAGGAACTCACGTCCGAATTACCATTCTGGTCTGTTTGCGAAAGCTCGTTAATGACTTGCACCAGCTGAAAACACATTAGCCCACATTAACCGGAATCTTTATGACGCGAACGCAATGAAACGTACCGCTCCAAATTCCTTCATCTTGTCACCGATTATTGTTGGCTGGGGGCTGCCTTAAAAACATGATTGTGTCATTAGGATACTGTAATACATGTGGGAACGTCTTAAGTCTTCGTACATAGTCTACTCTGTTTCGCTAATTTTGAGCTGGCTCCAAGAAAGCATGTAACTTAGCTACACTTTATGAAATTATTTTACTTACAAATGCACTTCTTCAACATCATACTACACAGGGGCTTAAGCATGGGAAGATAAGAAAGCAGTGCAGCAGTGAGCAACTTGGATATATTCAGAGAGCAAAAAGTGAGCTCGTTGCTAATTTGTGCATTCTTCGAAGGATGTATAATCAATACTTAATTCATAAAACTAAACTTTTAGCTTATTCAGTTAGTAAGATTGCCCCCGTTCACATTTATGAGCAAACAATGAGTCACTGATTGACAGCAAGCAAAAACGAATAATTCTAAAATATGCGAAAATGCCACTTGTATCGATTACTCTACCAGACAAGTGAAGTAACAGCAGTAGGTAAATGGCTAGTACAGCAGCTGCAGCTACCCTAGATTCAATTTAAAAAAATCTAAAAAATGAGAAATCAGGTACGAAACATTCTTACTATTTTTTGCAGTATCCTCGTCAGAAACAGCCAGCGAAATAGCATTAAGTAAAATGTAGAACACGGTAATACAGAACATCTTTCTGTAACGACAGCAGGGCATGTGACGCGCGTATATGAGTGCGAAGGAGTAACTGACTTGCCTGGCAAGATGAAACATAATTGACTCGCAGAGTGGAACAAGTGAACACATTTATACTGTAGCATCCCATTTTACAGCCAACTCTCCGTCTTTTTTGGTGATTCCCCATTAACGATTCACCCTTTGAACAAAAAGTGATCTTACGAATCTTTGGAGAGGAACAACTTCTGTCAAGTGGATACACTCTTATTATCGCATCTGTTATATGAGAGGAGTAGCGATTGGCAATCGAAAAGAATCTCATAATGTTGGGTGGTAATTTAGAAGAATTAGTTGGAGTTATTTCATGCAAACTAAGGTGGAACTCGCTTTGCTGCACGATCCTGCAACGCCCATAATGTTTAACGCGATCGTCTGCGAAAAACCAGAATGCGCGCACCTAGCCGCGGACGTCGAACGCTGCTGCAAGGCTAGACGCAGACAAAAAGCGAGGAATCATATGTGAGATAGCAATGCCGACATCCAAATAAGAGATCGCCTAATTGCGTTTAATTGCGTGACAGTTTCTTACGCGGAGAAATTCCATATCTGGTTGAAAGAGAAGCAAGACATCTTCGAGGGATGAGTGTTAACATTTTGCTATGTAAAAACGAATCCTGGTTTTGTTACGTTGAAAGGATAAAATATTTGGGGCCTTTGTCGGACATGCACCAAACGCATTTTACTCAATAGTTGAAGAGAATGCGTCTACAGTCACTTGTAAGGGTTCACACGCTGCCACCCTTCATCCTCATGGTCGCGCCTCATATCACTGAGCCACTTGTCCCGCGGCTTTTTTGTAAGAGAATGTGACAGATCAGCATACTCGTAACTCGACCGTACCGAGAATGCAAAGCAGATCTAGCTAGCCTCATGACCAATCTACAAACTTCTGCTTTCCCTGCCCTAGATTCCATCGATGAAGTTTAGAGAATAAACTCAAGATTCCTCATAACCATAGTGACTTGCTCTAATTGCACCAATTTTCCAGAAATCAAGACTCCTCTACGTGCTCTTTAATTCACAGGATGGCCAAACTGGAGTTAAAAACTTTACAGACTTTACTTCAGAGACTTTCCAAGGTCAAGATTGCACTGAAGTTGAAAGATTTTCGATTTTCCCAATGAAATACTATTGAAACGCTAATCAGCCAGTACGCCGTGTGTAGCTGTTAGTGCGAACCCATCAAGACAATGTAGGTTTAGGTTCGAATCCTTTTGCATTTTTTAGTTTTGCATTGCTTCAATCGAGCTTGTTTTTCAGAAGTTAGCCACTCTTGAGGTGAATAAATGCTCTTACTCTCTGAAAACTCAGCAACTCAGCTAAATAAGTGAGGAGTATTAATATTTGATAAGCATGAATGAACAAAAATCGAAAAATTGAGCTGCAAAATTAAAAACTGGTGAATATGAAGAAAATTGCGCGGCAACTTATTCCTTTACTCTGCGCTCGAAAAGTTCCGAAAACGGATTACAAACTTTGCAACGTATTTTCGACTGTGCTTGAAGACATATAGGCGCTTCACAAATTATTTCAGATTCGCCCTTTGCATACTTCTGTGCGGGCAAACTTACGCACTTTCGTAGTGCAGTTATCGTAGTGCAGTTACATTCACCTCACCATATTTCTGCAAAAAGACCCTATATCCCTCGAAGACCACGATTTTCGTAAAGAGCGTGTCCGAAATCCTCTGCAAGCGAAGTTTCCTTTCAATTCGAGATCATCGACATTTTGACCAAAATCCACCGGCGAGCTTCAGAGCGTAGAACGACAAAAAATGAAATACCCCGAAACATCTCGAAAAACTTACTCATAAACTTACTCATTATCCGAGCCGCTGATTACGAAAATCACATCTGCTTAGCCAGAGAGCTTCATACTTTAGAGTTATGGTGAGAAAAATTTAGAGCGACATGGTTTTTCCAAAATCCACCAGCCCTTCCATTTCCTTTGAAATGAAGTGTACGGCTATTTCTTAGCGCCCCATAATCTACAAAAAAAGTACTATCGAAAAATTCTTTCTGAACCCACTGGGGGCAATACATGCTGCTTCACACCTTTGCGAAAAGACGTCCGCGGAAAGTTTCAAGAATACTGAAATCGAGATATCAAGGACATTTTGCATACCAAAAGATTTGCCTTGATGAGCTGAGCACAATGCATTTTTCGGAATCAGAAAATATCCACTCCAAAGAAAGTTACGGCGAATAGAATCTGGAAACGAGTGATTTTTCTAGAATTTACCAACGCTTTTTTCTCTTTTGGAAAGAAGTTTGCGGCAGCTTTCTAGCGCACTATAATGTACAAGAAGAGCACCATCGAATGGTACTTACTGGAAACTTTTATGTTGGATAGGCGCTGCGCGTTACATACTTGCAAAGGGACCTTCTAAGAAAAAATTTGAGAAAACTGGAAACAAGTTATAGATGACATGACGTATGTCGAAAGATTTGCCTTGACGAGCTGAACACAATGCTGCTTTCGGATTTAGAATATATTAATTCCGAAGGAAGTTATGGCGCTGCATAATTTGCGATATTCCGGAATCGCGAAATTTGTGGAATTTCGCGAAACTATCGTCCTGTGGGTGGTATTGTACATTGCACAGCACGCGCGGCATTCCACGATATTTGCTTCTCATGCGATTTCCAACCATTTGCCTTTGTCTTCTTGCATTTTGGGACCTGTCATACTACGCCGAGAAAAACCCAGTTTCACACATATCCATGCAGAATGAGCTCTCAAACTATACCTGCTCTATTTCTGCAGTGCTCAACAGAATGTGTATGTAGCCACTGGAATTCAGCGCACTGAATGATCCATCTACACTTAAATTCCAAGAAAAAAAACTTATATCCCACAACTAGGCACATCTGTATACTGGAAAATGCGCCTCGCCGAGCTGAGTTGAATGGTACTCTTATATATAGAATTCATAAATTTTGGATCAAGATAAGGTCTTTTTTATAAAAAAGTTAGGCGTTGCGCGGCAAAGTTAGGCGGCAAATGCCGCTTTTCCGCCGACTTTTGTCGCGCGACGCGGCGTTTGTCACCTAACTGCGGCGGCGCCGCGTGAGTTAAGTGCCGCCGCCATTTTTTTTTCACAAATTACTGGTGGTATTGTAGCATTACCAGCACATGCCTGTATTATGCGTCACTGGCAATTGTACATCTCAGAACGCTTATCGTCGTCTCCCCGGTGTACGTTGGGCGGAGCTTTTACGGACATTTGGACACGTTGGTAAACTTGTTAACCCTTTACTGCAAAGCACCGTTCTTTGTAATCTCTCGCCACCGACTCCGCCACGTATGACAACAGCATATATGCGTGGCAGTTTAGAGAGTACAAAACATGCTTTGCAGTAGAGGTTTAACAAGTCACCAACGTGTTCAAATGTCCGCAAATGCTCCGCCCAACGTACACCGGGGAGACGACGATACCATGCAGAAGATACATTATCAAAGCCCTCCACGCATGCCCATGTGAAACGAGCAGCATTTTGAAGATTGACAAGAAAACAAATTTGAAAACATGCTTCTGCAATCTATCATAAATATTATCTCATTATTTTCCACATACTTTTTCATGAATTTGCCACAAAAGAGCCAACTTTTACTTTTTCCGCACAAAGCACCTTTTTGATTGCAATTGTTCTTTTTCATAAGAAAAAAGATGTTAGTCGATCTTTTTTGCAGGAGTTGTGATCAATCCGGCAAAACGGCTAATGCAATTGATAGGAGATTTGAAAAGCTATATCAAAACAAAGAAATCACTTGCAAATTTTTTGCCTTGTTCGACAGCAACGATTTGTTCTAATGATGTGCTTCCCCTTTTTTCTTGAATATAATGACAGCTGGAATTGTAGGACACTCGCGCCTATTTATTTCATCCACTACACCCGCTTCGTCATATGATAGATCAGTAATTCCACGTTTTGTATTGAAGAGGGCAGTGGAAGAAGTGGATAGGTATATGACAGTGGCGTACCCAGGATTTCGGCTCGGGGGGGGGCGACAAAAATTTTTTTTAAAGAAGGTGCGTGGCGTTAGCCACGCACTCCGAAAAAATTTTGAGGGTGCTTCCCAAAATTTTTTCGGGTCCCCGAACCCTAAAATCTGGAAAAAGGGGGCGTGGCGTCAGCCACGCCCCCGAAAAAATTTTTTTTACAAGGCTAATTCGAATTTTTAAAAATTATCAAAAATTATTTCAATTATTTACAAAAATAAACAAGTCACTTACACATTTTTATAACCCATATAAGTAACTTTCAAAAATTTCGCGACCCATTCCCATTTTCGCGCCCCCCCCCCCCTCGGTACGCCACTGGTATATGATGATTGGTCTGCCCAAGGACTCAAATTTTTGCGAGATATAGTTGTGACAAAACATAGCTGAAAACAGACATTAATTTGATTCCATCATATGATAACTGTTGTTGTTCATTAGTGTGATTTCCGCTCCGAATATCATAAATAAGATTTTGTCTACAATGTCGCTTCGAAAATGCTTGTGCTCTCACCAGCTCTGCAATTCATAGACTAGATCTCTTCTTTTAAAAGATAGCGTAAGCGATTTGTTGCAATAACTGAATCTCAATTTCTATAACAGTTTCAAATGCACTTTGATAGCTGAACCCAAATAACTTGAGAAGAACGTTTTTTTGGTGGAAAAAGTGAGAAATCTTTCCGAAATGATTGTTTAGGATTTGTTGGGCGGCCAAAGAAATTGGAAAAATTAAAGAGAAAAGTTGCTGCTCACTTTTACTAACTGATTTCCTCCACTTTGAAGCCTAACCTAGGGCGTTGGTAGTCAAGACATTTTCATATGTACGTGTAGTTTCATTGGTGAACGACAACATCCGTAAAGCGTTTTTTTCACTCCTTCGCTCCTCTTCCATCTGTTCATCTTAAATTCTCATTCAGATATTTTAGCAGTAATGGATAGGAATGTCTTGTTTTATATTTCTACGACATCGGCTGCGCTTTCATTGGTTATAAATTCTCTTTTCATCTATATTTCCTGCAAGAAAGAAAGGAAAAACATTGGCACATAT